CGATCCTGGTGTCAGCAAAGTCCAGTACATTGGATCCACAGAGGAGGGAGGCAGCTGAGTCACTATATTTCAGCAAAAGCCAACTCACAGCAGGGCCCAAAACAAAATCAATACACTTCCCCTAAGTTACCAGAAGTGAAGTGGGTGCAACGCTGGGAGGGCCTTTTGCAGAAAAACACAGCAGTTCCCAGACTCTGCAGCAGTGCCTGTGGGCAGCAGCAGACCCCAGTCCTTCTGCCCATTGTARGTGTTCCCACAGTGCCATCAGCACGGGCTCACAGTGCTGATGGAAGGGGTTTGATTTCCTGAATACGCTGAGCTGATCAGAACAGCACAGGCATTACCCAGCAACACAATTACAGCTCACAGCGAGGTACAGCTCACAGCGAGGTGACACTGTGTGGGATGAGGCTGAAATGGCCCCAAGCTATTGCTGSCCAGATGAAGAGGGGTCCTCCCATAAATCCCTGGACACAATTCCTGCCAGCAGCYRTGGCAGCAAAASCCGGGTGCTCCAAGGTTGGATCATCCCTGTGCAYGCAGGAATGATCCCAATGCCCCAGCGTCCAGGTCAACACAGAAAGGGAGATGAGATGGCCCCATGGGGAGCAGAGTTCATGGCAGCAGTAACCACACACAACAGCCATTTCCCCCATACAGACAAACTGAGTGTCCACAGGGATGTGACTGGGATTGCCGTGTCTGGAGCCACAGCCAGTGGCTCTGGGGAACCACTGACTCGTGAGCACGTGTTTATTACCGAGAGGAGAGCTCCCTGTCATGGCATTATTCATTATTTGTATGAGGGCAGCAGCTCACCAAATAACACACAGGCCTGACTGCTYGGGAGAACACTCCAAAAAACTCAGACAGGCGGTGCAAATAGCATTAGACATGCAAGCCTGTCATGGTGATTGCTCCCGCAGCAGGGCCACTCCACACACACAGCTACGCCCTGTCCAAGTGCTCAGCACTGGAGACCCAGGGCAGGGAGGGGAATGTGATCTAATCACAGATACGGCTGCAGCCTCTCCATGAGGGTTTCATTGAAGAGGAAGCAAGGAGTAAAGCAATATGCGTGTACACACAGAATTAACTCTTCCAGTCAGCGAACCTTAAAACTCCTAAATTTCAACTCACAACTATCAGGTGTTCTCTTTGCATTATGGAAATCATATTCATGTTGAAACACACAAAAAGTTTGTTTTCTAAATACTGTTACAAATCCCCAGTGTTCCTGCTAAAGGCAGGATGTCAAGACAGTAGCCTTGAAAGCRTAAGGTGACACAACTGAACCCCCTCACTGTGCTGAGCCTGCAGGCAGTTGGGGATAGTGGACTGGGAGCACTGGGCTGTTCCACTCAGCTCAGAGAACCTCAGAGATGCCCAAGTGATGAAGTCTCCTSGTCATTCACACCTGCAGAAAGATACAACTTAAGCCTCCCATGCTGGTGCTCGGAGTCCACACTCCTTTCAAACAGCCACCTGCAGCATTTCTCTTCCAAACCCCGTTGCCAGCAATTCCAAGCATTCCAAGATGTTGSCATCTGCACAGGTTAACCCGGCCCATCACCCACCCAATGCTAGTGCAGGGCAGTGTGGTCACTGTGCAGTGTCAGACAGGRTGACCTCCTCTTCCTCCTGCAGTCACACAAAGTCACTGGGACCACACTGACTCCAGGGGTCCCCTGCCCAGATCCCTGGGTTCTCTCCTCTCTGAGACCAAACCAGGGCCCCCAGCASCACAAGGGGACAAACCTGTCCAGGTGCTGGACACTGCGGGCAGTTTGCAGTTCCCATTATCCACAACATCCCTTCATGTTTGTGTCCCCTTGATCCTCACCTGGGAACTCAGGCATGTCCCAAGATGCTGTGTCTGTCTGTACTTGTAATGAGCATTTGTGGATGTAAACTCCATTCCCTGGCCTCAGAGGTCTCTCTGTCATTTTGCCATCCTTTTTGTGCTGTCAGGAATGCTTTCAGTGCTTTTCCAAATGCAGGATAGCTCAGGGCAGAGCTCACGGCATAGGACATGCCTACTGAGGCATGAGCATCACACTGGAGAGCAAATGCCTGCAGTCCAGCCTGGCCACAGGGGACAYACAGRCATCACTCTGTGCCTGGGCATGTGAGGGAGCAGAGGAGCACTTGGACTCTGGCTAAAAATCAACAGCTCCTGCAGGGAAGGATGGCATATCCTGGGGAAGGAAGGAGCAAGTTAAAAACAACAACCTAACAAAGGAGCAGCAGAGGGAGATTGGATGCCATTTAAAGAAAGCTGTATGATAAAACCTGTCCTTCAGACAGCCCAGCATTAGGATGGATGGAATCACAAACTGCAACCACACAAAAAATTCTGGTAGCATAACACAAACTAACCTTGTCCCGGTTTGCACCAGTACGTGTGTGGGAAGACCTCTGTTTGTAACTGCCACATGAACTTTGGCCACTGAGTTAAAGAAAGACATCAGACAGCATACAAACCTGTCAGCTTTCCCTGCAGGTTACCAGGAAAACAGAGCAGGCAGTGTGGAACTGCCATCCCGACATGCCACCCTGYCCCCAGCAGCACAGAGCTGGCATCCCCTGGCCCAGTGTCTGCAGAAACTCCAGCCTTTGAGACAGTCCCAACAGAGACCCTGGACCAGAGACCCAGAGCATTTAGGACTTTTCAATCTCAAGGCAGCAAATACATGGGTAATATGGCATGGGGCACACACAAAGAAATGGCAATGCCCCGGTGCCATCTCCATTTTACAGGTGCAGAAAAACAAGGTGAGGAAGGAATTTCCCTTTCCTCCAGCTCTTCAGGGCTAAACAACAAAGCAAGGAACCCTGAAGGTCTGCCATCCCTTACTTTACTATGTGAGAAGCTTGACAGTGTTAAAAGCTCACTGTTTGTAATACAGAAGTCACCATAAGGAGATGCTGGTAAAAATTTAAAAAGTTGCTTCTTTGCTGAAATAATATTGACATTTCCATGGATAGAAAAAACCTCCAATTACTCTACCTGGGACACAGCTGTGAGCTGTCAGTATCCCTGGTGCACTCACTCAGGTAAACTCAGAGAAGGTCAGGAAGAAACAGCTGGCATGGACAGTGATCTTTCCCCGTTCTGCTTTTGGTTTGTGTTTGTATGGCACCAAGCCGGTCTGTGACGACAGCCTGGCACCAGTACAGCACCAGGGAAGTTGTGGCTGCTGCTGAGGCGCAGCCTACCAGCAGTGTCCTGTCCCTGTGAGGCTGAACACTCTTGGAAGGAGGAGGAGAGAAGCACACGTTTGGATTAGGTGGGTGTGAAGATAACTGTAGGTCAGGYAGCCAGGGCTGCAATGGCAACAGAGCAGCAGTGTCATTTCTTTCTCCTCTGCTCAGAGCATCCATTCCACAGCCTGCTCTGCCCAGACCCTCACACACCTGCTCTGCCCCACCTCTTCTCCCACCTCTTCCCCTGAGCAGCAGAGCTCCAGGGCTAGAAATGAGCTGCACACACTAGAGACAGAAAATATCAAACTGCATTCTGGAAATGAAAACCTGTGTGCCTCTTACTCCACGAGAGGAGTTACACCCACTCACTAGCCCTTTTCTAGTAGCATGACTTTAAAGATGAAAAAGCAGCTGCTCACCATATTCAGTGCTTGATCTTCTTCTGCCTGTTTTGAATAAAACCAAACTTTTTTTATATGCCACTTTGTATCATCTTCTAGCAAGTTTTCTAAACTTATTTTTCAAGGTAAGCCTTTCCTACAGTAAAATTCAGCACAGTAAAATACTGTGTCTGAAGTCATATCTATAAATACAATAAACACAGCCAGTCCTTTATTTCTTCCCCCTATCAGAGCAGCACACTAAAAACACTCTCAGGGACAACCTCACTTTCTCAGTGCTGATGTACACCTTCTTGAAATCCCTCCAGAAAATGCCACAGCATCTCACCACAGCCAAGCAGATGCTACACCAAATGTTTATGAAGACTTTGCTTCTACAATCCCCACAGAAGACTGCCTGGACTTTCTCACATTTAAATAAKCCTGACACAAAGACTATGCACTCTATTTCAATAAACAGTGACCAGAGAATCCAGGCAGTAACTAATCTGCTACTTCTCATTTTTAGCTTCATTTTCAGAGCAAATAAACATAACAAACTTCACCAGTTCAACCCATACCACTTCTTATCAAGAATCAATATGGTTTGGTTTGAACTACAGAGCTACTGGRAATTTTAAAGTTCCACTTAAATGTGGATGCGCTGCATTCTGCTCACAGATTTTTAAAGAGAGAAACATTGAGCTACCACAAGCCACTGATTTGCTAAACCTGCCAAGACATTTAACACTTCCTTACTGCAGTCCAGTGTTTCCTAATAATCAGGACTTTTAGCATAAAATTCCTTTAAGATACTACCCAACATCAGACAACAGACTCGTTCACAAACAGAATTAGATCTTGTCAATGGAAAAAACTTCCTGACGTGGAACTTGTTGAATAAAGAGTAAACCTTATTTGTGAAGAGAAGCCTGTGCTCGCACGAAAGCAGCAGCATCCTTTCAGTCCTTCAGCCCTAGCAGCACCTGGAACAACTCGCGATCTTGTTTATTTCAGTAATTATTAATTACCGACCTATTTAGGTGCATTTTACACCAAGTACACAGATGAGCTGCTACGATCTGCTCACGCACTCTGAGCAGCCGAGAGGGATGTTATTACAGATTTCCTGCCTTCCCACCAGAACACCGCGTTTTCAATCACCACCGCTGCCAGGCGGGGCCCCCGGCGACCTCCCGCCTTCCCCGGCACGGCGGCTCGGCTCTCCGGCTCCGCACCGCCGCGTCCCCGCGGAGGCATGCGGGGGTCCCGGAGCCCGCGCCTCCTGCCCGGGTCCCACCGAAGGGAAACAGGGGACCCCCGGGATCACACAGGAGCTTCCCCCGCCTCGCACGGACGCGCATTCCTCCCCCCGCTCCGCCGCGTCTCGCTCCCGCAGTCCCCCGCCCTCACCTGTACCACTCCAGCCCCTTCTCGTAGTTCCTGTCGAAGAAGTGGGGCTCGGTGCCCACGGCCCGCACGTCGGGGTGCGCCCGGATGGCCTCCAGCAGAGCCCTCGTCCCCCCCTTCTTCACCCCGATGATGAGGGCTTGCGGCAGCCGCTTCTCCCCGTAGTCCGGCGTGGTGCTGGTGGTGCTGCCGCCGCCGCCGCGGCTGCCCGGGCTGCCGGCCCGGCTCAGCTCCTCGTCCGTAGTGCTCGACTCCTGCGGGTCCCTTTCGAAGGCTCCGCTCTGTGCCGTGATCACCTCCCCGGGGGCCAACTGCGTCCGCAGCCAGGTGTCCGCCGCCCCTTCCCGGCTGCCGTTGGAGGCCCGCGGCGGAGCGGCTGAGGGGGCCGGGGCTCCGGCGGGGCTGCCCGGGGGGCTGGCGGGGGAGCGCGGGGCCATCGTGACGGGGAAGGCGGCGGGGGAACGCGGGGCCCCGGGGACCGCCGTGCCAGGGAGCGCGGCGGGGGAGCGCAGGGCGGCCGGACCGGTGCCCCCCATCAGGCTGTAGCACAGGTAGGTGAGGCAGAGGGAGAGGCTGCACATGCAGAGGAGCTTCCGCGCCGGGGGCCCCTTAGAGCCGCGCCCGCCCGGCACCCCCGCCTGGGCGGGGGGGGACATGGCTGCTCCCCGCTCCTCGCCCCGGGCACCGGGCGCACATGGTGTCAGCCGCCGCCCGGCCGCCCC